CCCCAAAGCTTCACAGCTGGGCCCCAATACAAAGAGGAGGAATCTGCAGGTCTCCCTGTAGCTCCTGCTGGGTGGCCCCAGGCAGTGGCTGACTTTGCACCTCCTGGGAGTTCCAAGAGCCAGTGTACCCAGTGGTCAGTGTGACACCATGTCACTTCATATCCATAAGTGACACACTCAAGGGGCAGACGCAGGGAGCACCAAAGCCCCACTGAAGCAAGTCCTGCCCCATAAAGGTGTCTCCTGCACAGCTGCTCTTCCATTGTAGACACAGCTGGTCCTCACAGCCTGGAGGTCAATTCCTCCCAGTGATACCAACAGAAATCAAGGCTCAACTACAAGAAGACTGTGCACACAGCCCACAAAGGAGTGTACCAACTGTGTCCACCTCAGGTGATTGGGGAGGCTGAGCAACTGGGCCCTATAGGACACCTACTACATAAGGCCACTCTATCAACTCAAGGAGACTTAGCAGCTACCCAAAACATAGAAACAAACACAGAGAAGCAGCCAAAATGCAGAGACAAAGAAACATGTCACAAATGAAATATGTGGAAGCAAGCAAACTACTGGATATAGAGTTCAAAACCACAGTTATAAGGTTACTCAAGAATCTTCTAGAAACCTCCAAGGAACTTAGTGAGACCTTCAAGGATTTTAGTGAGAATGCCAAAAAAATGAAAAAGGACCAGTCAGAAATTAAGCATACACTGACTGAAATAAAGAATAATATACAGAGATTCAACAGTAGACTAGAGGATTCCAAGAATCAAGTCAATTATTTGAAATATGAGGAAGCAAAAAACACCCAACCAGAAGAGCAAAAAGAAAAAAGAATCCAAAAATATAAGGATAGTGTAAGGAGCCTCTGGGACAACTTCAAGCGTACCAAAATCCGAATTATCGGGGTGCCAGAAGAAAAGAGAGAGCAAGATAATGAAAACCTATTTGAAGAAATAATGACAGAAAACTTCCCCTACCTGGTGAAAGAAATAGACATACAAGTCCAGAAAGTGCAGAGAACCCCAAACAAGGGGAATCCAAAGAGGATCACACCAAGACACATCATAATTAAAATGCCAAGGACAAAGGACAAAGAGAGAATCTTAAAAGCAGCAAGAGAAAAACAGTTACCTACAAGGGAGTACCCATATGACTGTCAGCAGATTTCTCAACAGAAACTTTGCAGGCCAGAAGGGAGTGGCAAGAAATATTCAAAGTGATGAATAGCAAGAACCTACAACCAAGAATACTCTACCCAGCAAAGCTATCAATTTAGAATTAAAGGTCAGATAAAGAGCTTCACAGACAAGAAAAAGCTAAAACAGTTTATTACCACCAAACCAGTATTATATGAAATGCTGAAGGGAGGA